GTAGCTACTTCTGTTAGTTACACAAACTCACATAATCATTACCACTGCCTTGGTTTTCATGCCATTACACTTTATTAGTACACACAATTAAGTACTAACCTCTAGTCCCCATATAGTACAGGTAGTATCAATACTAGATGCTCCCAGTATATTAGGATCAGTTTCATTCCAATCAAATGATGTCAAAGGAGCACAAAACTCTGAATTCTTACTCTGTGCAATATAAACAATTAAAAATATTATTAAACAGAGAAAGAAAGAAGAATGAGAGTAAGTATAGTGGATATTAATACTTACATTATTTAGCATACATTCTTGTCTAACATCAGATCCATTGATCCTCCATAGACGAAGATAATCACCAGAAGTAGCAACAAGATCAGGTAACTGACCAACCTAAACATAATAAATAAATAAACAAATAAATTAAAATAAATAAATAATGGTATTCTCTCGTCTCTCTCTCTCTCCCTTCACTACACATACCATGTCAGGTATCCACATTATCTTAGTTGTAGGGTAAGGATGATCAAAAGTTGCTGTATGGCTGAAATTACCAGTCTCTTCATTCAATTGTACTATCTGAACCTATTGATACATCAAATATAAGAATATAACTGTTCACAAACAGTTACTAATATAGTGCTAAGTAAATCAAAAATATAACACAAACTGAATTCTGTCGTCTTTGGTCAAGGCACAGAAATACATTCGTACATGTACATGTATGCATTAGAATTGTAGGTAATAGAATTGAAAAATCACTTGCAAGTGCTAATGTAGCATTGCCACAATTTAATCGTTAATTAAAAAAACCAGCAATACCTTGTTACAATAGTCTTCAATGAAGCTACCAATGGCCAGTCTGAATCTCTTGTCTGGTTTGAAACTCCAGTTCATACCATATACAACCCATGGGGCAGTGTACCTGTATATCTCCTTCCTTTTCATGGGGTCAGGCTTTCCTGGAAGACTAGTACCACTTGTTGTGGTAGCCATTTTTAGTTGAGATTAAATGGGCGGAGCAAAATAGTAATAACCACACCCACTACAATTTAATCATGAAATTCATGAATAATGAATAAATTACATTAAAGCACTCAGCAGTAACACAATAAAATTATTTTAACAATTAAAAATTTAAACAAACACACACACACACACACATGATAGTGCATTCTCAATTTTCTTCATTTTCTGCTTGCACCAGTGGCTGAACTTCACTGAAGCTACTAGTGACTGTGGTGTTTCTGTTCCTGTATACATCTAGTGTATTGTGACTTGGTTCATCCCCTGTTTGCCCTTTTACCAGTGTATATTCATCTGGTACTAGTGAGCCATAGTAATTAATTTGCTCAAATCAATTCTCTTGATCAACATTGGCCATGAAAGTACTAAAACTAAAATCTTCCAGATCGCTGTTGTCACTTGCATTAAATTTCTGGTTTATAAATGAGAACACAACAAAAT